ATACTTCCTCTTAATAAACAAAAAGAAAAAAAATTATTTGCCTTAACTGTACAATTCAGAACACTACTTATAGAACTCTACATTTATTTCTCAAGAGGCAGTGAAAATTATATTATTCTCTTCTTTGATCAAAGGGATAAAATTCTTGTTCTTTTGCTGTCTTATGCTAAACGATATGCTAAAATTTTACCTGGTCTCTTGCCGCTTTCCCGAAATGACTGGTGCAAACAAGTTAAAGCATATTCCGCTTTCATTGATAGTATATTTATTTCGCTCATATTTAACCTTTTGTGAATGCTATGCTGGGGATTATTAGGAAGGGGACTAATAACAAATCAGTCAGTATCATAATGCCCCTGTAGAAGATCTATGGTGTGGCCTCATTTGTGGGGAGGGTGAAATATAAGTTCAAAAAAAATAATAATTAAAATAAATACATTTGGAATACTGTGTACAGTTCTGGTCACCACACCTCAAAAAAGATATTATAGCTTTGGAAAAGGTACAGAAAAGAGCAACTGAGATGACTGAAGGTATGGAAGACCTTCCCTATGAAGAAAGGTTAAAGAGGTTAGGGCTCTTTAGTTTGAAGAAATGATGACTGAGGGGTTACATGATAGAGGTTTATAAAATTATGCATTGGGTAGAGAGGGTAGAGAAAGAAGTACTTTTCTCCCTTTCTCGCAATACAAGAACTTGTGGGCACTCAATTAAATTAATGAGCAGAAGGCTTAGAACAGATAAAAGGAGGTACTTCTTCACCCAAAGAGTAGTTCACACGTGGAATTAACTGCTGCAAGAAGTGATGGTTGCTACAAGCATAGATTGTTTCAAGAAGGGACTGGATAAACATATGGAGTAGAGGTCCACCAGCGGCTTTTAGCCACAAGGTATAGATGGAACCAGGGGTCATTTCGTAGGAAAAGATGTGCAGGAGCTCATTAGCACAACTCATTAGCATAACTTATTTGCATATGTCACACCCCCTGACATCACAGGAAGTGTGTCAGAAGGCAACACCCACCACTCAGGCACCACTGGACTGTTTTGGATTGCTAGCTATTGGGGGGGGGACATGCAGATCTCTCCTTGCAGAGGAGGGAGAGCTTGTACCTGAATAAAACTTGGTCTTAAAGGTGCCACTGGACTGTTTTGGCCTGGGGGGCCGGGTGGAGCTCTTCAACTTACCTGGCTGCTTCTTGCTGTGACTGAGGGCTGCTGGAAGCAAGGGGTGGGGCTTGTTGCATGTGCCCACCTCCTGGACTCTTTACTGCCGGAGCTCCGCTCCTGTGCACTCCTGCAGGAAATGACCCCTGGATGGAACACTCTGTCTGGAGCAGTAATGCTCTGTATTCTTGATGTTTGGGGGACAACAGTGGGAGGGCTTCCGGAGTTCTGGCCAGTGTGGACAACCTCCTGATGGCACCTGGGTTTTGGCCACTGTGTGACACAGACTGTTGGACTGGCTGACCTGATCCAATGTGGCTTCTCTTGTGTTTTTATGCTAAAGATCTGGTATGGGACATATAGCAAACTACCTTAAGAGATATTTCAATCTGTCTTTCAAAGATACTTCTTTCATTTCTCCAAGCTTCTTCTCATGAGAAACATATGGAATGATTCTCCCTCTAATAAAAAGCTTTACAAGCATCCCATTCAATAACACGAGTACTACCCGTTCCTTGATTCATATTAAAATATTCTGACAAAGCTATCATCTGATTTTTAAAAGCTTCATCATTAAGAAGAGAAACGTTAAAATGCCATAAACCAGGTGGTCTAACCTTGTCTAAAAACCAAAGGGCTAATCATATGGGAGTGTGGTCAGAAAACCCCCCAATAACATCTATATCACAGACAATAATCTGGGGCATAAGAGAAGCTGAAACAAGAAAACAGTCTATCCAGAAATGATGATACACAGAAGAAATACAATAATCTTTGTCCTCTGGGTGTAATATACACCAACTATAAATCAAACCTAGTTCAGCCATATAAGTTTTAAGTACAATTCTCCCAACTATTAAAAAAAATTGTGCTGCTAGGCATGGATTCCAGAACCAACAATCACATCTTGAATCTACACATCATGAATGTCTGCATGAAGAGAGCCAGTTTGTTGTAGTGGTTAGGAGTATGGACTCTAATCTGGGAGAACTACATTTGTTTCCCCACTCCTCCACATGCAGCTGCTGGGTGACCTTGGGCAAGCCACAGTTCACTCAGAGCTGTTCTCTCAAGAGCAGTTGTCTCAGAGCTCTCTCAGCCCCACCTACCTCACAGGGTATCTGTTGTGGGGAGAAGAAGGAAAGGAGAGTGTTAGCCACTCTGCGACTCCAAGTGAAGGGCAGGGTATAAATCCAATCTCCTCCTCCTCCTCCTCCTCCTCCTCCTCCTCCTCTTCTTCTTCCTCTTCTTCCTCCTCCTCCTCCTCCTCTTCTTCTTCTTCTTCTTCTTCTTCAGTCTGGGCTAATTCAAGAATGATTAGACAGGTGGCTGTAACAAAGAGGTTGTAACCCAGTGGGACAAGCCCCAACTAGTGTTGCCAACTTCCAGACCAGATCTGGCCTGTAACTGTCCCACTTACAGCAGGATGATCTGAAACAACGTGCATCTATTTGTATTGAAGCCTAAGCCATAAAATGCTTCATGTGCAGATGTCTGCAGTCAGATTTCGGGTAAAGGGACAGGATTACTATATTCCCAGGCTAAGAATGTATATATAAATCTATTCCCATGGAAATCTGTTTTGACGTCAATATGTTTTTCTTCCCTAAGTAGCAAGCCTCTTGTACTTTCACTTCCCCTTTTAAGTTTCTAGTCCTTCGGGGAAAGATGAGTAATCATGACAGCCGCTACGAGAATCTCCTCCAACAGACAAAAAATACAACTTCCACTTATTGCCACATTCAGTACTTTTGCTTCCTTCTCTGAATTCAACACTATCTAGCAATGCAAGTGCAGGAGACGAAAATGTTTGCCCCACTTTTCCTGTTGCTGGAAGTACCAGGTGTGATGTCCCAGCGTCTCAGCCTCCAGAAGACAAGGGACCACAGATAGTTGCAGGCAGATAGGCAAACACTAAGCATCTTCCTGTTTGTGGTCACTGACTTCCTTTGAAGTTCAGCTGAACACTCCTTCGGGGAAAGCAACTTCCTTCCGTCTTCTCTGTCTCTCTCTCCTCTCTTCCATGCACGCAAGATGGGGTGCAGGATGTTTCTCTGCCTCCACTCCCGTCTGTTAGCTAGATAGCTTAGGAACTATCTCTGTTTCTCTACCCTGCACTACCAAGCATGTATTTCTAGAATAAAGTAGTAATTATTTTGTTTCAGCTTGAAACAATGGCCCATTCCCGCTGCTGTTCTACCAAACCCACGCTGGAGCAGAAATCCCCCTCTGCATCGCATGCTACTTTCACTTTGATTGATTGTTGGATTTTATGGTAGCCTCCACACTGTGTGCCGCTTTCACTTTGTTTGATCCCTCGGTTTTATGGTACTGTCTGCATAGATCTATGGCCATTTTATGGCCAGTCAGGGGTGACTTTGCAGTCAGTACAGTGTTGGCTCGGGGTATTTGAATGTGGTTATGAGCCACATTTTTTTCTGTTTGAGTGTGGGCTAAGTAAAACAACAGAGTGAAGGCTAGATGCAGAATGGGCCAGTGGCTCTGTGTAACTCAGGTCCCCGTCACACGAGTGGGATGATCCACTGCCGAAGGGAGGCAAATCAGAGCCAGAGCAAAAAGAACCACGGGAGCGCGATCCGACGTGCCCCCGTGGCTCCGTGCTCCCTGCTCCGGCAGCCGATCACATGTTGCGCAGCAAACCGGCAGTAGCGTGGTTGTGCGCATGCGTGGGATGGGGAACAGTGCCGGCTGCGACGGGCTACCAGCACTTCCCCGACCAGACGCCTTCTGTTGCCGCGCATAATCCGGTAGGTACTACTCTTTTGCTAGTACCTTTTTGATGCACGTTTGTGGGCCGAAGGGACGGATCGGGGACGGGTGCGTGCCACTTCCCAGATGTTGCGGTGTGATCGCGCCCGCTCGATGCGCCCCCGATCCGTCCCTCTTGCAGATCAAATCCTTCCGTGTGACCGGGGCCTCAGTAACTTTGCAAGCCCATGGCCAGGTCTGATACAAGCACTGCTGCGTGAGAGCCTTGTGCACTCTGCTTAACTAACTAAAGAAGGATCTGGACCACCAGAGACAGTACCCTTCCAACCCCTGTGAGGCCATCAGGACAGGGTACCTGGTTCTTCTTTCACCCGTTCTGTCCTCACAAGAACTCTGGGAAGGAGGCCGAGCTGCGAGAGTGTGACTGACCCGAAATCATCCATGAGGAAGTCAACAGTCGCTCTGCTTAGGGTGGTGCTGCCGGTGAGCCAAACAGCCCAGTGGAAATCCGAATCCGGATCTTGAAGGACCAGCACCCTAACCCCAATGGCACGGATGCAAAGTAAAGTGTAGCTCTACTGATTTTCCGGGAAATACTTTAAGGTATTCAGTCTTAGGGTGTGGTTAGATGTTTTCTTGGCACGCCTATAGGTTCCTCTCTGCAGCTCTCCCACACACCCCACCCCCTTGAGACATTTTTCTCTTGGAAGGGCTTAACTTCTGCTTCTGATCAGCAGTTGGGGGAACGATTAAGAATTAAATGATAGCTGGGGGGACATGCCCCCCACCTGCTGAGCCTCTCCTGTGAGTTAAGTCCCCCCACACCCCTTATTTGACCAATGGCTGTTCCAAGGGGGTTGGACACCTCATACATTTGGGACACGACAGACATTTGCGAAACACTGGGCGGTAAACCGTTGGTCATCCCTTCCTGGCTGGCTTTTCTATTTTTAAGATGGGGATGGGTTGCGTAACACCTCTGCTTCCTCCACCAGACCAGATAAGGCAGCTGCTTTTATCGCACCACGTAAATATATCAAAAAAACATTTGAAAGAAACAAAACAGTGCATGGAAACATCTTCTAACAGCTGATTTTGGCACAGAGAAGGCAGGCTGGCTACAGCATCCCCCAAGGGCTGTGTTTCTTCAACACCTCGAAGGACAACTGGAGCGGCGGTAAAGTAAGGTTTGAAACGGCTGCACGAATGAGCGTGCCTTTTCTGTTTTGAATGCATTTGTCTACATAGCCAAATAAAGAATCCCTGTTGGCTTCATTATGGAATGAAGTCAGACTTAATTGGTATTTGTGATAGCTAAGAGACCCCAAAATATTTGCACAAGGGAAGATTCGGGGTGTTTTATCAGATAGATGAATGCTTATATAATATTTAAAGCCACATCCTACCAGGTTTGACCGCTGGTCCGTCTAGCTCACTGTCCCCTGCTCTGATTGGTAGCATTTCTCTATGGGATCAGGCAGAGAAAGGTCTTTCCCAGCACCTGTTTCCAGAGATCCTGTACCCGGAGATGACAGTGATTGAGGCTGAGACCTTTAGCATGCCAAGCAGATGCTCTGCCATGGAGCTACAGTCCCCCCCCACACCTTTTTACCATGTCAAGACTTAGGGTTCCTCTTGATCAGTATTGCCTTCTTTGATGAACAGTGACTCACCATTGGGAGAAGCAGGTGTTTTCCTAATCCATGCTACCTGAGGTCCTTCACTTGGTGATACTACTGATTTTGTCTGGGAGTTTTTGTGTGCAAGGAATGTGCCCTTCCCCTGGGCAATAGTTCCTCCTCATTAGATTGAATAGTGGGTTGTAGAGATGTGCATTTGGATTCATCCAGTCCAAATATATATATAAATACCTTGCTGCTATTTTCCAGATATATTTAGATATAATTAATGCTTTTCCACTGTAGCTTGCTGGCTAGAATGAAAATCTGCACACCGAGATTCAAACGTTTACAGTTGCACACAGAATTTCAGATTTTAATTTTAACATTTGACTGTGAGGGACACTTTCAGATTATTCACTTGTTGGTGAATTTCAAGTCTTGGATAGAAAACTGAGACCCTGAACCTTAGGAATGTGCAGAGGTATCGTATTAAGTTTTGGATTTGGTTCATCTTGTTCATTAAAATTTTTTGTTCAGATTCCTAACTATCATTATGTTTTGGGTTCATCAGGATAATTGTATTTTTGGTCTCACCTAAATTCATTCCAGTGGGAAACACTGGGGAAAATGAGTTTCTATTCCTAATTGTGATGGAATTATCATGGATTGTACCCTCATGCAAGGGTAGGGATTGTCCTGTTTTTCCAATGAAGAAACCTGAAGCCTATTGTTGACGTAGGATGGCATACATTACATTTGAGCACAGATAAGTCCAACATGGCATGTCTCATGAAACATAGCATATCTGATGTTTTTAAGTCCAGTGATTTGTTGTTGTTGTTCAGTCGCACAGTCGAGTCCGACTCTTCGCGACCCCATGGACCACATCACGCCAGGCCTTCCTGTCTTCGGCCGTCCTCTGAAGTTTGCTCAATTTCATGTTCGTTGCATCTATGACACTGTCTAGTCCAGTGATAGAGTTGGTTAATAACATCATCAAAAGCTATCAACATCAGCTGTACCATTTCAAGCACATCCACTTGTTTAGTGTGGTGGCTAAGCGTCAGTTTGGTGTCGTGGTTAAAAGCAGCAGACTCTAGTCTGGAGAACGGGGTTTGATTCCCCACTCCTCCACACACAGCCAGCTGAGTGACCTTGGATCAGTCACAAGTTCTCTCAGAGCTGTTCTCTCAAGAGCAGTTCTGTCAGAGCTCTCTCAGCCCCACCTACCTCACAAGGTGCCTGTTGTGGGGAGAGGAAGGGAAGGGTATTGTAAGCCGCTCTGAGACTCTGAGTGAAGGATGGGATATAAATCCAATTCTTCTTCTTTTTCTCCTCCTCCTCCTCCTCTAAGTGAAGGGCAGGGTATAAATTCAATCTCCTCCTCCTCCTCCTAAGTAAGATATGCCATTTGCATCAACATTTTTTCTCCATATGATATTAAAAATCCTAATGTTCAGAAACTACCAGGGCATTCTATTGCTCATCTTAGAGTTACAGTTGACTGACACAGAAATTTCAAAGGCAGAATGTGAAACTCCTGAATCAGAATTCATTCCCAAATTCAAGGCAATGTACCCCCTGTGGATTATTCGGGAGCTGGGCTTCCCAGGTCACTACTGTTGCTATCTTACATCCCCCACTTCTCATGTATATTTTTCACTTCAGCTGTACCTCTGTAACTTCCTATTGTATCTGCTTATCTCATTTCATCATGCACTAGATTTTGTGTTTTGCCTACCCAACAACAGTTGAGAGTGTTTCAGAACCTCTCTGAGAGAACTGAATCTTCTTTGAGCTGGATCGTCTTTAACTCCAGCCTCTCTTTGTAGCACTCCTACTCACTCACTCACATTTCTATTGTGTATAAGCTTGATGGATATACACCTCATGCATCTGATGAAGTGAGATCTGCTGGAATACATTTTGTTACACTTCGAAGTGCCACTGGTAGGATTTAAGGGGCCACTGGACCAATGCTCCCTCTGAGCTGTGGAGTCTTGTGAGCAAAAATTCTGCTTTGTGAGCTACTGGCATTAAAGTTGTGAGCAAGCCATTTGGCGACTGCATAACTTAGTTTGCTCTGGAGCCATCCTTCCTGAGCTAAGACAAAAATGTGTGAGCTGGAGTCTAAAAAACGGCGAACTAGCTCACACTAACTCAGCTTAGAGGGAACACTGCACTGGACTACTGTGTTTTTTGGTTGCAACAAACCAATCCAACAACACCCCTGGAATCACAATATTAGCAATATGCCTTCCTTAATTGGTAAGATGTTTTTCAGTGGTCTATGTTCCTGGGAATCTTGCAGCAGATGCTTAAGTAATGCACCATGTGGCAATCTGAAAACTGAGTTGGCTAATAATGACCAAACTTCCCTAGCCATGGCCAGCCACAGAAGAGTATGAACCGTATTCTAGATTGCATGTTCTGTTCACATGGGTTAATGATAAGGAATCAGTCAACTAGACCAGTGACCTAGAACATCCCCAGAATCCTTTGCAATGCACTGGGGCTTCACGTCTAAGGAACCAATGTTCCAGGTGGGCGGCCGTGTTGGTATGAGGCAGCAGAATGAATTTGGAGGCCAGTGGTACCTTTAAGACCAACAAAGATTTATTCAAGGTATGAACTTTTGTGTGCATGCACACTTTTGTCAAATACATTGTAATGGAAGGTAAGAGTTCAAACTTACAGGCAGAGCCTGAACAAAAAATTAACATGTAACACGATTAAGATGTTTTAAGATATGCGAAGACAAAACTAGATAACAAGCTAAGGTTACATGGTCAACAGTTGTTTTGAACTGGGTTTTGTTTTGTTTTGTTTAGAACTTTCAGCCAATGTTGAAAGTGTTCCCCGAAAGTAGAAGGACTTTACCTGATGCCTTATGGATTCTCCTGCCACCAGGAGAGCCATCAGTTTGGTGGGAAATGCCTGCACTTTAGTCTTCCCTTGGGTTTTCCCTTGAGAGTTAAGAAACGTGTCTCCTGACTTAGTTTCATACCTAATAATAATTTCCTTGCCTTGCAGAAGCTGAGAGGATGACCAACCTCACGGTTATTCTTGCTATCTACATCATCACCTTCCTGCTTGGCTTCCCTTCCAACCTCCTGTCCTTCTACACATTCTTAATGAAAGTCCGCAAGAAGCCAGCCCCCATAGACATCCTCTTGCTCAACTTGACTTTGTCCGACATCATGCTCCTGATCTTTCTTCCCCTCAAAATGAGAGAGGCAGCCAAAAACAACGAGTGGCCTTTCCACAAGGCCCTCTGCACCGTCACCAGCTGTACCTTCCACAGCAGCATCTACATCAGCACTCTTTTCCTCACGGCCATCAGTGTGGACCGCTATCTGGGGGTGGCATTTCCCATCAAGTACAAGATGAACCGCCGGTCGGCCTATGCCGTGGTAGCCAGCATCTTCATCTGGCTGCTGGTGGGTGCCCACTGCAGCACAGTCTTCGTACTGAGGACCCTGGCCAATAATTCAACACCACCTTCACTGCCACAGCCAACCTCACAGCCTCCCAAACATGAGGTATGCTTCAAGGGATTCAATCAACGGCAGAAGGAGATCATCTACCCCTTCCGACTTGAACTGTGCCTTGCTCTCTTTTGCATCCCGTTTGTCATCACCACTTTCTGTTACGTCAACGTGATCCGCATCCTGGCCTCCCTGCCTAATGTCAAGGCCCGCAAGAAACAAAGGGCCATGGGCTTGGCTCTGTTCACTTTGCTCAATTACGCTCTTTGCTTTGGCCCCTTTAACATCTCCCACATCTTTGGAGTGATCTATTACGAAGACCCTAGCTGGAGAGAATATGCCTTTGCCCTCACCTCCTTCAACACCTGCTTGGATCCTTTCATCTTCTTCTTCTCCTCCAACGCCATCCGACGGAATGTTGGTGTTTGCTGGGCCAGCACGTGCCGCAGAATCCGGCCCATTTTATTGTGCTTCACTTTGCCTTGCTGCAAGGAACCCAAAGACAATAAGGAAAGAGAAGGAGCTGCCGGATTATCTACTACAAGCGGACTGGGAGTGACAGGCGGATCCACTGAATCCTCTTCCTGCGGCCATGCTGTAAAGATGTTGGAGGTCAGCCCACTGGATGCTGAGCAAGTCGCATACTGCACCAAGTTCCAAGGACACGTGGAAGACTAGACCCAGAACAGACTTTTTGTGCATAGATGCCAATGTCTAAATTTCTTTGCCCCAGTTTTGGATATGGAGTTACAAATTCAAAATTGCATTTTTGGGGACAGGGGGTTGCGTGTGTGTGTGTGTGTGCGCGCCCATACATGGAAGTCATGGCAACCTCTGGCAGCTCCTCCTGGGGTATGTAGGGCATTCAGAGAAGCGGCTCTGGTACTCCTTGGAGGTCTCCCATCCAAATACTTGCCAGGGTCGGCCCTGCTTAGATTCCAGGATCTGATGCGATCGAGCTTACCTGGGCTAGCCAGGTCAGGGCTAAAACTGCATGTTGAATGTAGATTATTATTATTATTATTTTTACATTAACATTTGAATCTTGTCTGCATATCTGGACTGTGTTTTTCTTTGTAGACATCAAATATGAGATTGCTTATATTTGCCTGCAGATGACCCATGCTACAATGAAGGTTGTACAGGTGTGACATAACTTCGTTTCCATGAAATGACCTTGACTGAAGCCGTATTAATCAGAGCCAGTGTTGCATAGTGCTTAGCAGGGCTATTTTTGGGCAGGAACGCACAGGAATGGAGTTCCGGCTGGCTTCCAAGTTGGCCACGCCCAGCAGGAACTCATTAGAATAATAGGCCACACCCAAGAGCAGAAACTTGTTCGGATTGGCTACATTAGGGGTGTGTGGCCTAACATGCAAAGGAGTTCCTGCAACTAAAAAAAGCCCTGGGTTTTGACAACAAACAAGGTAAACAGAATAAGAAGGAAAAGGTGGGTGTGGCTGGATGACCACACTTCTGGTAACATGGAGGTGTGGCCTGATATGCCAATGAGCTGTGCTGTCAGGGGTGTGGCCTAATATGCTAATGAGTTTCTGCTGTTGGATGTGGCCTGTTATGCTAATGAGTTCCTGCTGGGGGTTTTCTACCAAAAGAGCCCTGGTGCTTAGAGTGGCCCATTCGTCATCTGGCATTTGCTCCGTTGTTTTACCAAACCCACACTGGAACAGAAAAAGATGTGGCTCAAAACTCCATTCCATGCCAACTCCGTACTGACTGCAGAGTCACCCCTGAATGGCCACATAGCAGCCATAAATCTATGCAGACGGCTACCATAAAATGGAGAGGTCAAAGGAAGTGAAACTGGAATGCAGTGCGGAGGCTGCCATAAAATCCAACAATCAAAGCAAGTGAAAGTGGCATGCAATGTAGAGGGGGATTCTGTTCCAACGTGGGTTTGGTAAAACAGCGGAGTGAATGCTCAGTGCAGAATGGGCCAGAGTTGGCCCAGGACATAGGAAGCCACCGTTCAAATCCCCACTCCACCATGTACGCTGCCCTGAATTCCTCAAAATAAGGGCAGGCCTTTAAAAAAAAAAATGACAGATTTTGGAGAAAAGTTGTCTGATGTCAAATACTATTTTTCATTTGGCTGAGGTTCGATAGGTGGCATTTCATACCGGCTAGAAAGCTACAAAAGAACTGCAACGAAAAAGGGGGAGGGAGGTTTACTTTTACTGCGGAGGAAGTGCGGTGATTTTCATTGCTGTACATTCCCCCCCCCCATTGCCAATTGGTTGAGAGAGAGAAAATCTACACTGATTTTCCATGCAAATCCTTTTAAGTATTCAATCAGGGGGAGGGGACTACATGTAATCCTGTGCCTAATTTTGTCTTCACCAAAAATAGGAGACTGGGCCTGATAAAATGGTCAGTTAGCGGGTTCAATATTTAGCAAGTTAAGACCTTCTCATATTTGGGATTCTGTGGTCCTGTTCACACGAGGCAATTTGGCCCGGGAGCAGGACAGTTCGGGGGCGGATCAAACCAGCGCGATCACACCACAACATCTGGGAAGCGTCGTGCTTCCGCCCCCGAACTGGACCTTCCCGGGAAAAAGCGCCTCAAGTTGACACCACCTACCTCGGTGGTTCAACGAGTAGACGCGCTGCAATCCAGGCGTCTGATCGCCGGCGCTCCCTTGCGTTGGCACAATCCCGGCCCGGAGCCGAACTGCGCATGCTCCGACATGCGCAGTTCGGCCGGCACCCGGTCTGAGCCATGTCTTCTCCCCGGCGTTTGATCGCGCCGGGGAGAAACTGCGCCGCGGCCAGGGGATCCCGCCGCGGCGCCTCAACGTTGGCACGGCTTTTAAAAGCCGCGCCTCAAGAGGCTTTTTTCCTGTCGTGTGGCAGGGGCCTGTTTATAGCAGATTTATCCTGGAATCCCCAGCTTAGAATGGTGGTTAATAAAGCAAAAACCTGTGCTAATGTATAATTAGGTACTTTTTGTAATAAAGAGGAGAGGTAGATTCCTGGAGCTGTGCAAGCATCTAAATTGAAAGCAGTTCCCCTTATTCTATATGGCTCAGCTATTTCGATTAAAGTTTTCTCAGATAATATCGATCAACCTCTTGTTCATTTTTAAAGAAAACTGTTGAATATACCATGCTCTGTCTTGAATGCTGTAATACAGAAGGAATTTGGTCATATGTCCTTGGCTTTGTGCCTTTAATCTAAGAGCCAGTTTGGTGTAGTGGTTAAGAGCATGGACTCTAATCTGAGAGAACCAGATTTGATTCCCCGCTGCTCCACACGAAGCTCCTAGCGTGACCTTGGGTCAGTCACAAGTTCTTTCAGAGCTGTTCTTTCAAGAGCAGTTCTGGAAAGAGCTCTCTCAGCCTCACCTACCTCATAGGGTGTCTGTTGTGGGGTGGGGAAGGGAAAGGAGATTGTAAGACACTCTGTGATTCCTTCAAGATAGTGAAGGGCAGGGTATGAATCCAATCTCCTCCTCTTCTTCTTCTCCTCCTTCTCCTCCTCTGAGAACGGTTTATTAGCTGCCCTGAAATGGGACACTTTCAGATCAAAATGGATGAAAGCTATTGACGAGAAACTGCCACTAGTTGGGGTGATGACTTTTTTCATTAAAGTTTGCTCACCCTTGTCCTTACTTAACTAATTTGCTCAAGGTGGGCAGCCCTGTTGGCCTGAAGCAATAGAACAAAGTTTGTGTCCAGGGGCACCTTTAAGACCAAGAAAGTTTTATTCAAGGTGTGAGCTTTTGTGTGCACGCACACTTTGTCAGACAATGAAACGGAATTACAGATCATACTTGTATATATACAAGGTAGCTTGTTAAATTTAGCACTGTTTTGCATGCTAATTTAACAAGCAACCCTGTATATATACAAGTATGATGGGTAATTCCGTTTCACTGTCTGATGAAGTGTGTGTGCACACGAGAGCTCACACCTTGAATAAAACTATGGTCCCAGTCACACGTGCTGGAAAACGCGGGGTGGGGAAGCGAGCCTATTTGCACTGCAGTAATTTGACCTGCCACTGCGTGATCAGACGCAGCAGTGGGTGAATCGGGTTTTTTTCTTCACCACGTGTTTCCGGCGCGCTTCATTGAGGGATCAGTGATGCAATCGGAGCACGCTGGAGTGATCACACGGGAAACTCCTTCTGCAGCCCATCACAACTCATTTGATACTGCACTTTCCCAGGTATTTTTTTAACTCCATGTCTTTGGCAGAGTGAGACAGGTTGCCAACGGGTGCAGGATGCTTGCAAGATGTTCCTGTGTGATCGCGCCCCTAAAATCCTCCTGGCAGTCGTGCCTCTCACGCAGCTACTTCTGGGTGTGATCGGGACCTTTGTTGGTCTTAAAGGTCCCACTTAACTAAGGTCCCGGTCACACGGGCCAGATAACGCGGGGGTGAGGCGTGGCTGTTTGCCCTGGGGCAAAATAAATTGCGTTAGTTCGATCACACGGTCTCCCAAGTCTTCACGCTGTGGCAGGAAGCTCATGACCACACGGCGATGCTGGAGCTGGCAAAGAAGCCGCGCGGCAAGCGTTCCGTGTTTGTGCGCATGCGCAGTTCCGCGGAGCAGCACTGCTTCCAGTTTAGTATTCATGTGCATGCGCTTAGGGAAACCATCTGGTTTGCGACGGGACTCGGATGGACGCCGGAAGCCACGGGATACTAGCGCTCCCGCAATCAGACGCCCGCCCCTGCCACACATTTTCCTGATACTACTGCACTTTCTGAGTTATTTTTTTACTGCACATCTTCGGCAGGATGCCACGGGTTGGCTACAGGTGCGCTACACTTCCCAGATGTTGTGGTGTGATCACACACTGAAAATCCACCTACCATTCATGCTTTTACCGTGGCAAATCCTCTGTGTGAACGGGGCCTAATTTGCGTTTTTTACACTCTGTGGTTTTACAAGGAAGATTTTTGAATATTCCTTATTCTGACAGAATTTGCCTTTGCGGCCTTAATAAGATTGACACATTGTTTCATGATCTGCTTGAATGCCTTTTTTTTTTTTTAGAATATTAGGGGTTACTATATTAAGCTACATTATGTATCAGGCTTTGTGATCTCTGTTTTATTTGCTTAGAAATAATGAGCCTAAGATTACTTTGGCGAATCTTGTCTTTGTCCTTTTATCCCTTGTGTCCAAAAAATTAAGAACATGAAATCTTTCTGCTCAGGATTTGTAAATCAATGAGCTTCTAAAAGAATAAAAGGAAGCCATGGCAAGGAATTCCTTGGGGCGATCAGGAAGAGGAAGAAGAAGGAGGAGGAGGAAGAGAGTGGATTTATACCCCGCCCTTCACTACCCAAAGGAGTCTCAGAGCGGCTTACAAACTCCTTTCCCTTCCCCTCCCCACAACAGACACCCTGTGAGGTAGGCGGGGCTGAGAGAGCTCTTGACAGAAACTGCTCTTTTTCAAGAACAGTCTTATCAGAACTACGGCTTGCCCAAGGTCATCCCGCCAGGTGCAAGTGGAGGAGTGGGGAATCTGAAGAAGAAGAAGAAGAAGAAGAAGAAGAAGAAGAAGAAGAAGAAGAAGAAGAAGAAGAAGAAGAAGAAGAAGAAGAAGAAGAAGAAGAAGAAGAAGAAGAAGAAGGTCACCCAGCAGGTGCAATTGGAGGAGAGGGGAATCAAACCCAGTTCTCCCTGATTAGAGTCCGCGCACTTAACCACTACACCAAACTGTGCGGGCCTCTAGCTGGTCACACTGTCCAGTGCTAAGGGCCTGAGACCCTGGTGATGGCCAGAGACCGGCTCTTGCATCAGCAGGCAGGCAAGGGGGGGGCAGAGCTCTGGTTAGCCCTAGGAGCTTCCATTTGCCTGCCCCTCTCCTATATAGCCAGCAGCCTTGGGGTCCTTCACCCACACAGCAGTTTGGTGCAGAGCCAGTTTGGTGTAGTGGATAAGTGTGTGGACTCTAAGCTG